CAGGCAAGTGTTATATCCTCCCCGACGACTGGGAGGATTTCTGGATTCTGAATCCGAGAAGACACGCTTATCTCATATGTCTTAGAAACGATGAAGGTTAAGAAGAGATATATGCGAAGACGTTTATGCATATTGTTTTAGCGTCTCATTTATATGTAATTCAACTTAGGAGGACTGTTGCATGAACCATCTTGCAACCTGACGGAATATCTAGAGAATAAAATAATGAACGACGAGCAGTAACGGTTTCCAATGGCAGAATGAGTGGACACAACAAAATGGCTGGTATGCGTTTCAACTTCTTTCTTCTGCAACGAAAGGGAAAGCAATTCATCTTTCTGAAAAAACATACATTTATGTAAGTGGGCTGTCAGTTTCAAGTAACAAGGGAGTTTTGAAAACTAACTTTGATTGGCACTTTGGGCAGTATAAGATAAAAGTGTTGACTTTCGATTGGACTTCCTTTTAATTCCTTTTAATTGTATAGAATTTGGAAAATGTTAAAGGTAGGGGAATTACAGGGAAGGGTATGATATTTTCTGTACGAGGGGAAGAATTTCAGAATATTTCATACAACCTCCTTCGCATTACGACTGATATGGGTTTTTGCCTGCAAACTACACACTAAAGAATAAGGGTGTAATTCTGCTACAATATCAGCATCCTCTGCCAAATACGCGGAGGTAATCTGCACCCCAATCGCACCCTTATTTCTTAGTGTGTAACTTATGAATATGCGAAAGATGGAAAGAGTGGTTCGACTCACCGATTTGAAGGCATGGCCACTCTATTGACTCTTTGATCTTAATCATGTGTGTAAATACTTTGTTCGATCCCATCCAACCTGATGTTGAATCCGATTTTTTCCAGGCAACGAAGAGAACTGAAGATGTCGTGTGATTTTGGTCGACGATGAACGAAGAAGGTCAATCGGGGATCACTGCAGTTTAAGGTTAATCAATGGTAAAATGTTAAGACAAATTCTGTAGCGACTGTTTATTCGTTGCCCTGATTTTAGATCATTAATCATTTGATTAATAGAAGAACATTTTATGGATATAAGTTGCCCTGATCATTAATCATTTAATATATGTAGAAACAGATTTCATGAAAATAAATTGAATGTTTTTATTTGGAAGCAAGCACCAATTCATATAATGAAACAAAAAGAGAAAATCTGGATAACACACAAATGAACCAGAATATACCATGGCAACATAGTGCTACTTACGAGAAAATTTGGAGATGAAGACTGCACTACCGGTACCATAGCTTGAAAAAGCAATGCATTTGTAATCACACGGATCTTCAGACTGGGGGTTTCGCATCGTCAGGTCGATGGAGGTCAGCGTTTCGCCTTCTAGTAAAGTCTCGGATTGTGTTATGTGACGGTAGACGTTAGACAACTGTGTACCATTGCAAAACCATTCGAAGATAAAAGCAGGAGGATTGGCGTCTGAGGCACATGTCAATACGAACCCATAATGTATTTCATTTGATGCTAGTCGTCGAGAAGAAATGTTTACAACCGGGTCATCTAGATTATATACAAATATTGAAAATCATTTTATTAAAGAAGTATTCGAAAACAGAAGAAGATATAAACATGTGAATGGGACGGGGGGGGGGTTAAATACAAGTTATTGGGGTGAGACTAATAGAAACCTGTTAAAGCATGCATGCAGGAAAAAAGAGAACATTGACATTGTAGCATATTACCTTGACTCGTAGTTAACCGTATCCACTTTTTTCAGATAAAAAAACACACATGGACGTGTTAAGGATTTCCTGAAATTTACATACAGGTAGAAATAAAAATGCGTAGAAGAAATAGAAGAAACAAATAGTAGACGAAACACTTGATAAAAGATGGTGAACGCTTAGACATACCAATATCCTACGCAATTTTAGGAGTTTCTCTATCATAATGTCCCTACTAAAATTTTTAATAAAAATGAATACTCACATGATATGTTCAGCACAATGCTATAATTCGTTGACCGCATTGGGGGTGTAGTAGATTGAAACGCCTGGCAGAGAATAACTTTCCTATGATCAAACCTCTTTGGTGTGAACGTAAGGGTGCTTTCAGCATCATACGAATCATCTTCATTCACTGAAGACTTAAGAGACGAATAATGTGTCACATTTCCTGATCCAATGTACCAATGGATGAGCGGAGCAGGGTATCCGTTAACAGCTCCGCAGCTTACGGTGGTTTCTATACCGTCTTGTAGATCATCTAATTTGGTAATTTTAACACTATCCGGTGGACCTTTACATGAAAAAGGACATATATGGTTATTTGTAAAACCGTAATGAGTCTAATCGTCCTTGGTAAAATATAGATTCTTTTATACGTAATATTAATACATGCAGCACAGAAACAGCCCAGTGTCATATTAATACACATTCGCTTTTTTCCATCACAGTCCAATGTGACATGCAAATATTAATAACTATGATGATGATTTCGTTATAATGGGATTTATTACAAAGATTAAAACGGTAATTGCAGTTGTGCGTCGGTCAATGGAGGTGCGCACCATATTTGTCTTTATTTAGTTGATTGCCACTGTTTTTCTTACCTTATCTATGTTACTTTTGTATTTTTGCTTTTTCTTCTAATTTAATTCTACGGGTTATAGTCTTCTCTTAATCAGAACACTGTGCGCTCAGAAACATCAGTATTAAGCGCCTAATAAATGTTATGTATTATTATTATTTTTATCTCTTTTGAATTCTTAGTAGTAATTAAGCCTTTAATTCTAACACATTTTACATCAATTATAATTGAAGGAAGCTCAACTTCCGATAGTTGAATAATCGAAACTCACCGTAAACGATCAACTTGGCTAACGTCTGATCAATAAAAACTTCGTCCACAGATGCAACACATTGAATAATCATGCTATGATGCTTTCTCTGTGGATGTACTGTGATGGTACTAACGGTGTCAAACAAACTTCCATCTATAGCATTGTGATACTGTGAAATGTTTGAATTGCTATTGGTGTCACCAAAGAAACTCCATGATAATTCAACTCCTGGTAATGATCCAATACTTTTACAAGTGATTGAAGTCGATGAACCTTCATGAACGTAAAATAAGTTTGACCCAGATTCGTGTTCCTTGTTATGTCCAGTTTGATATAGTAACATGATAGAGGGTAGAACTAAATGAAAGATAATGGGAAGGACAAACATCATAATCAAAATCATGTCAGAAACCCTGGTTAATTTCTTTTTCTTTGTTCTGTACATATGGACATTAAGAATACATTTCTAGAGAAAATATGAATCTGCTGAATAAACATTTATAAATATTCTTTAAGATATTGCCATCAGAGCTGTTCACATTTTGTGAACTTAGAAGCCCTTGATAAAAAGTAACAAAACAAGACATGGACTCAACTTTGATGACATCAGCTCCACATAACAATCAAGAGATTGTGCTCTCCGCTTAACACGTGTACTTACCTAGGACATTGAGGTGAACTGAGCGTTGAAGATTTGTTTGTAATTGTGGATGCGATGCTGTACAGCGCATACTCTTTCCTTGATCATTCGTAGAGGGCGTGATCGTAGCAACCCTCCGAGAGACATATCCGTTGCCTTGTGCGACATCAGACTGATCGTGAAGAACCACGGTCACATCATCTGCTATACACCATTCCAATACTGCAGGAGGCCTTGCCCAGTCTGCTGCACATGTGAAGTCATACGTCTCTCCAGCAGTTACTGTTATATTTGTGTTGTTAGGGTAATACTCGGTCGATCTCTCATCCTTGATAAAGAGCCAGTATGGCGCAACTTGCGTAAAAAGAGGGAACACTCACGATGAATAAAGGCCATTTCACTGTGATAGTCTATTTTCATGTCATTGAATCTTTAATTGCGTTTAACACAGTTGCTCAATGTCTGCTACTCAAAATCACCTAATTCATCCCCTTTCAAAGGATTTTTGGTACGATTTATAGTTGTTTTGTTGCCGAATATAATGTAGATCTTTTTAGTAGCACTTAACCATAACTAGAAATAGAATATATAGCAAATGAGAATAAAAAGACATGCCCAAATTAAGGGTTTACTTGATTTTACCATCGAAAAAAAAAAACAGTATGCTAAACCTGTAGCAAATTATTATTATTTGCCGGCATGTTAAATGGGTTTAAAGTTTGACAAAGAACGACTTTCCTTTAATCTGTGTTCATACAAGACTGTTGAAATAGCTTTGTTTTTCAATACTGAATTTGTAAGGTGAAGAATATGTTTTTACCTGCAGGTAATGGCGTTACTTGCACGCTAGTTGATCCTTTCCTCAATGAACATGTGTATCACTTACAGTGCATTTGTAATTGCCTCTATATTTTTTTTTCAATCGAATTGAGTACATTGGTACATCTCCCTAACTGTCCGCAAAGGTCTTAGCACGAAAAAGTTTGATGAATTTAGCATGAAATGAATCTTACCAGATTTCGTGATGATAACGGCGAGAAAAAGAAGAACTACAACACAAAACGCCTTCATCTTTCAGCAATTGAATCTTGCCATAAAGAATTCTATTTGGCGAGCTTATAACACACACTATCGATTATTATAAAAGCAAGCCGACAGTGCAAACAAGAGTGGATGCTTTTGAATTTATAGAATCGTTGGTGATTTATAGCGTTAGTAGTGAAATAATATATCATTTTGTCCTGACATCGATTCAGTTTCACAAACTTCACCAAACTACCACTTTAAAAATGACAGTATCAATGCTGTAAATGTTTGAACATGAAGGGCGCTCTCTCCCTTCAAACATTGTGACAAAATCACTTCCAATCGGACAGTTGAAATAAAATTAATTGTAAAAATTTTCAGTAGGCTTTTGACGTAGCAGTTAATATCTGGTGCATATGATACCAAATGTAATCGTGTTTCAGTCACTCAATATTCTTTTTCTTTTTTAATAATTAGTTGTCTTTTTAAAAGAAAACAATATCATACAGGTACCATGTTTAATTTACGGCAAAGACAAATTCAAAGAAAATTGGTTATCTTAAAAGATTTGCAATAAATTCATAATATTATGTTTAAGTTACTATGTACCTCCCTCGCAATGCCACTATTGGACAATTGTGATGTTTTCTTGTCAAAGCGTTTATATGTTATCTTAGATAGACTGGTAAAACCTCACAATAGGCTCGCAAGAATGATTCTGGGAGCGCATCTAAGAGCCTACTTACCAGATTTATGTCAGTTAATACACAAAAAACATACACTCAAGGCGGCAGGTTCATAGATTGAGCGAAGTTGAGAAATGTGTCAATGGAATGGCTTCCAGTATTCATGCCAACGTATCACGAAACCCCAATGCCACTCTCCAAGAAACGGGTGTTATCGTAAAAGAAAGTGGTAAACAGTCTGGTAAGTTCTTAGGATCGAAATAGTAAAATCACTTGAATGGAGAACAGACACCTGCACCATCGATACAATATGTTAAAGCAACTTTGTTTAACCATTTTTGTGCTTTCAGGAGACGGAGAAGCTGGTATTGAGTTCGGTCAAAGGATTGACCAAACTATCATCAAACTTTCACCACTGGCTTCCTCCCTTGCGATCATTATTTACATTACTGTCATTGCGAAATGTCCAAACCTAATCCGATTGTTTGGGTTATTGACCATTTTTGCAATATTTGTACGCGTTTTAATACTTAAACCTTTGATTAGAATTATATTCCCATTTTAATTTATTCTAAATACTTTAGACTTTGATCACAAATGCAATTCATTTTCTCCATTGAATTACAAGTTATGTTTCATGACTGTTATTGTTTGTTCAATTTTTATTTTCCTCCAATTATTTAAACCCCAGTGGTCAAGTTATTCTGGTTATCATTTGCCGTTTTTATAATTTTATAAATTGCATTATTGTACTATATGTGTTATTTTAATTTTCTAGTAAAATTTTAATAATTCAGCCATTGACTAGTAATCACGTTTTTTATTATACCATGAATGAAATAAATAAATACAGTGCAATCTATTAATGAGTGTGTCACCGTGTCCACATCCAAACGGCAGAGTGGGCTTTTTTGTTCACGGCGAGCTGTATTCATGTTTTTATTTTTCAATGTATAGGCATAAATCTATTTTCCAGTAATGATTTAAAAAAGACTGAATGCATATATATTTTCTTTTCGATACAGGCAAATATCATTTCACTGAAGCCCATTAGCGATTCCTGGTTGCCAAGTAACGAAGAGAGTAGATGATCTCGTCTGGTTTTGATCGACGATGAACTCATAAGGCGGATCTGGAATCCCTGATAGCAGTTTCAAACATATATTGATAGTTTCATGTACTAAGAGATAATTTTGTTACAATAACATCAACAACTATCCAATCATTACAATTAATTTCTGTATAATTTCACATCGTCCTGTCGTAATGACAGCTGTACGTGACGAACCGAACTCTAAATTTCAAACTTGGGCCTAATCCTATACCTAAACTAAACAGTAACCCTAACCCTACACCTAATGTTAATACAACTTTAAATACAGGCATGACCTTTACAATGTATTTCTGGCGAAACAAAACCCAAATAAATTCTTCACCGGAATATTGTCAGACATGTAATAATCCCTTTAACCATCAATCGTTTCTAAACGTCGTCACAGTAATCTACCGTAACATTGCCCGATAGTTACCGTAACTAGGTTATAATCTCATTTCATCGGTTATACAATCATAGCAGTATCATACTGTTCTCATATGTCATCTGTGATTATCAATATTGATCATTTGACATCAATGCGCCTTGGTGTAATTATGGAAGGTTTACCAGAATATAAAAATGTTATGGTTGCACTGTCTTTCCAAAGCCTTGTCTCTGCCAAACATGTATAGTTCCCATCGTCTTCTGCCGAAATATTTACAATATTCAGAATACTCGACTTCAAGGTATCTTCCTGTGCCTGACTGTGGTAAATGTGATGGCGGGTGCCGTTGATGAGTTCCCTGTCATTCAAGAACCATGTTATTGAGGCGAGGGGTCTGCTATCTGATGTACATGTAAGAATGGCATCAACGCTGTGCTGACCACTGGAAAAACGACGAACAGAGTAGTCCACAATGACAGGGGAATCTACATGTATGTATTTAGAAAGAAAAACATACGTTAAAGAAACAATAAAGCAAGGCTTAGGAATAAATAATTTGTGATGATATTCCTGATGAACGTATTAAAGAGAATACATATTGTAATTGTTACCAATAGTTTGTAAGGCTAACATGTCATAACCATGACGCTAACATAAAACGGTTTTTTTTTTTACTGGAGTATGGCATCACTTGGTATCAATCTCAACCAATCATTATGTTTAAATAACGATTTATATGGCTTAGAAATTAATAAGACAGAATCAAACCTGGTGGTTTTTGTTTGAAACAAAAAACGTACCTTGGCTCTTTAATATAATCATGGAAAAGGTAAGATATTCTTCAGCTCAATGTAAAAAGGACAATAACACCAAGTAATTTCAATGGTTATGCCTTTTTAAGCGGTAAGGCGAATTTATTAACCTGTTTCGTAAGATCTACATTGTGAATGGATAAGGTTGACATTAACTTACAGAGCACATTAAGAACGGCACTGATTCTCCGAGACTTCATGGATGTAGCGTTTGGTTGAAAAACTTGACAGACAAGGAGTTCCCCATGATCGTCTATCGTGGGTGTGAAATTGAAAATACTTGTGGCATCTATTCGATGATTTCTATTCCTCAAAGTCTGCGTATCAGAACCTTTGGTGACGTTCTTTGATCTAAGGTACCAATGGAAAGTTGGTGCTGGGTAGCCGTTGTTCGATGTGCAAGTAACATTTGACGACACCCCACCCTGTAAACCTTCCGTTCCGTTAAGCTGGGGAGGATCCGGCGGTCCTTGAAAATAAACGTGTTTCTTTATTTCGCTATTACAAACAAATATTATAAGCCCCAGTGACTTGCAACAACGACCTACGCATCACATTTAACTCATATTCAAGAAAGACAATTTGGTGATATCTATATAGGAAATTACCTGAACTATCACGAAGGTTTGTCACTAAAGACCTTCTACAATTTTTACTTCCTTTAAATATCTTACTACATAACAGAGGACACATGGTGTGAATGCATATAGTTGTTAAAGATGTAAAATTTCACATCTGATATATCAATGCCAAAGTATGTTACAGAATGTCCAAGACCGCATTCGGTCCTCTGTTGTGAATCCGAGAAGATGATATATAGATAATACAATTTACGAATACTCACCATACACGATAACCCTCACTTCTGCTTGACGTTGGTTCATACCAGCAGAGGCCACACATATGAGAAGTTGATTGTGATGAATTCTCTTTGGAATCAACTGTAGAGTGGAATTGGTGTCACGTAAACCTTGGTCGGCCTTATTCGTGGTAGACGTAGAGGTCGTGCTACCCAGGTCGTCATCCGAAGCAAGGATCCAAGATATAAGAGCTGTAGGGCTGGATCCTATACTCTTGCAGGTGAATGATGTTGCCGAGCATTCGAAGACATTGACACTTCTTGACTCTTTTGCATTATTAGTTATGGATCCATACGCGGTAAGCAGGAGGTTACTTGGCGGTACTGAGTGAAACAAAAAATGAAATGTCAGAATGTCAGTACGGATTAAGCTATTAGAAGGAGAGATACAGAGGTAAACGATTGCTATCAACATGATAAAAACATATTAGCGGTGAAGGCATCATAGAATAAAGGAGAATGGAAAGTGTTTTAGGAAATGTTGAATGATTCATCCATTTCAGAGAATCCTCACATTTAGATGCATATCCACTTGTAAAGAACACGCAGAAACACACATATCGAGCAATCAAGAAATTAAGTCATTAGTAAGATAATCACCTTGGACATCTAGGCGGATGAACAATTGAAGTCCATTATCCAGCTCCCGATGCGAAGCCACACAACGGAAAATCTTGTTACCATCGTCCCTGGACGGAGTTACAGAAACAACTCGTTGAGAGACGTAAGCGTCACTATGAACAGCGTTAAACTGACCTCCTAGTCGAACCTGTACTTCTTCAGGAACTTGCCACTCCAGTTCTGCAGGTGGTCTTGCGCCTTGGACTGAACATGTTAGGTTAAGGGTTCGTCCATATGTGATGCTCACTGATTTTCCATTCTTGTATCCATTTTCAGTCCGACCGTTGGTGATGGATAGCAAGGTAGGTATGGCTGAAAATTCGAAGAAATGTATAATTTTTTTATCCTACGTATAACCATTATCAAGTGGGATGTCTCCAAAAGACTAGGAACTCTGAGACTCAAATACATCACTTTAACCGTTATAATGATTTTCAAATTGAATCATGAAGTGGCATGATTTCCAGTCACAAATTAAATTTGGTTGGTCAAAGGGAATTATGTCTATTTTCGTTCAGTGACACAGATGTTAGCCCTATTGTTATTCAACCACAATCACTTTTTTAACTTTTATTTTTTAAAATAAATATACAAAGATTACTTCGGCTGCCGGTAGGTCGGATGTTGACAATACACAGTTATTGCGGTTTTGTGGCATGCAGCCGACGAATTATTTGTTTGTGTACATTTCATTAGTATACTAAGCATTATAGGAAACATGGAAACATCTTACCTGATAGCATTACGTTCAGATCAATTCCATTAAAAATTGTATCAACATCAGTGAATACATTGCACTGATATCTGCCGCTGTCATCCAATGTTAAATCCCTAATAGTGAGGTTACCGCTGAAATGATCTGCCCTCAAACTGTATTTGGACATATCTGGAATATTTTGGTCGTTTCTGAATCCCACCCCATGACATCTATCGGTTGCTAGGATATCACCGTTCCCGTGGTGCCAATACAGTAGCCGAGACGCGGTTGGCGGCGTGTAAATGCAGGCGAGTGTGATATTCTCTCCAACGACTGGGATGACTTCTGTGTTCCAAATACGAGTAGATACGTTCATTTCAAACGTTTTAGAAGTGGTGAAGGCAAGAAAGAAAAATATTTGAAGACAATAATTCATATTGTCATCAATGGATTTTTTTCTCTCTGTATCTTCAAACTGTGGACTTTTATGTCAGGAACCAACATGCAACCGACCAGAATATCCGCAGATAAAAAGTGTGGAGGATGCAGTATCGGTTTTCAATGGCAGAATCAGTTGGCACAAAGAACAGTGGCTGACACATTTATAAATTATCTCTTGAGCTACGAAAGTGAAAGCTGTTCATTTTTCTGAAGGACATAAGTGGAATGCTCCATTTTAAATGTAAGGGGGTTTGGAAAATTACTATAACTGGCACCTTATGCAGTATAATATTGAATGATAGTATCTGTCAACCATTGACATTTTGTAGTATTTTACTTAACTTTACTTTATTGTATTTTTACTTTAATAATGAAAATCGTTTTGTTATCTGATGATAAATCCAGGTTGCGAAACAACTAAGAGCGTTGAAGATGTCGTTTGGTTTTGGTCGACGATAAGCGAAGAAGGTGAATCGGGAATATCTGCATTAATCAGTAGTAAAGCGTAAATGCACAAATTGGTACTGACGGGTTTCTTCAGTTCAATAACTTGTATCGTTAGTGATTAATATAAGTAAAATTATTCTATCTGGAAGCAAGGACCATTTCATTCAAAAAACATATAGTAACAGATGCACGAGACACAAATAAATCTTAAAAAATAATATACTTACGATATATTGTGTAGTTAAAAACTGCACTACCAGACCCATATCTTGAAACAGCTACGCATTTGTAATCACAAAGGTCTTCGGACAGGGGATTTCGAATCGCCACTTCACTGGAAGTCAGTGTTTCACCGTCGGGTATAGTTTTGGAGAATGTTACGTTACGGGTGTCGTTAGAAAACTGTGTGCCGTTACACAGCCATTGGAAAATGAAAGCAGGAGGATTGGCGTCTGATATACATGTCAACACGAACGCATAGCGTCTTTTATTTGATGTAAGCCGTCGAGAAGAAACCAACACAGCTGGGTCATCTTGATTAAATACAAATATTGAAAATCAGTTTCGAAAAGAGGTAATAGAAAATAGAAGGAGATATAAGGATGGGGATGGGGCTGGGGATGAAATTAAAGTTATTGGGCTAGGGCTAACAGAAACCTGTCAAAAAACATGCGGGGGGGGGGGATGGACATTGCAGCATATTACTTTGACTGGTCGTTTTCCATACACCTTACGTTTTTATTTGGGGGAAACACCAGCCCGGAGGTGGCGTATGGACCATTTCCTGAAATGAACATACAAGTATAAATAAAAATGTGAAGAATTGAAAGGAAACAACAATTGCAGAAGAAACTCTTGATGATAGTTGGTGAACGTGTAGACAGATCAATATCCTACGAAGATTATCTTTTATATCGTCCTTACCAAGAGTTTTGATAAAAATTGGTACTTACATAATATGTTTAAGAAAACGCTATCACTCATAGACCGCATTGAGGGCATTGTAGGGTGAACTGCGTGACAGAAAAGAGGTTTCCCATTATCAATCCTCTTTGGTACGAACGTAAGCGTACTTTCAGCATCATACCGATCATGTAAATTAAATGAAGTGTTAAGAGCCGAATCACGTGTCACATTTCTAGTTCCGATGTACCAATGGATGAGCGAAGCGGGGTATCCATTGAAAGCTCTGCAGCTTACATTGGTTTCAATACCGTCGTGTAGATCATCGAGGGCGGTCATTTTAACATCATCTGGTGGGCCTTTACACATAAATAAAATAATCGATTTCGGTTAAAGCATGAATGTGAAATTGCTCTTTGGTAAAATATAGAATCTTTAATACCTAATATAGACAACCATTGTAATAGTGATAGACGTTCCCTCTTCTCCTTCCAGTTCCAGGTGACTTCAAATTATTAATAACTATGACAATGATTTCGTAAGGATATTGGTAAACAAAAGATGGTAACTTCTTTGGAATTATTAGTGATGAATACAACTTTCAGGGGTTTAGGGTTTTAAGTACAACCATTTCCTTAAATTTTATCTGAAAGAAAATCGAATCCCGATATATTAAAAGAATCAAAACTCACCATAAATCATCAGTTTTGCTCCACGTAGATCAATAAAGCTTCCTAAAGTTGCAAAGCATTGAAGAAATGTTCCATGGTGCTTTCTCTCTGGATAAATTGCAATGGTACTTTCAGTATCAAACAAACGTCCATCTAAAGCATTGCGATACTCTGAAAGGCTTATGTTACGTGGGAAACTTTGGGTGTTGTCAAGTGTCCATGATAGTTCAACTGCTGGTAATGATCCAACACTTTTACAAGTGACTAAAGTGGATGAATCTTCTTGAACGTAAATGACTGTTGGCCCAGATTCGTGGTCCTTGTTATTTGTCGTCAGTAAAAGTAGCAAGTTCGTTGGTAGAACTTCATTACAGAAAAAAGAAAATAGAGTAAAGGTTCATTGCTTTCAAGGAAAGAAAAGTAAGGGAAGTTTCTATAAACATCCTTATGCCTTAGCAAAAATCGAGTGAAAAAGAGGACGAATCACCAAAAGACAAAGACGAATAATAACCAATATCGGATATTGTGCTAAATAGTTTAAATTTGATGAATTGATAGAGAGTAAAACAAAAACAGGAGGACAATGAACCATTCAACTGACATCATCACTATTTAATTAAACAGTTTACACTGACAGGTTGTAAACAAGTTAGAACTCGTCGAACATTAACTTAAAACATATACCTTACCTTGAACATTCAGGTAAACCGCACAGTGACGGATATCTGGTAGTTCTGGATGTAAAGCCACGCAGAGGAGTCTCTTTCCTTGATTATTCACAGAGGGCGTGATTGTGGCAGTCTTCAGAGAAATATAGCTGTCGCCTCGTATGATATCAGACTGATCTTGAACATCAATGGTTACATCATCTGATATACGCCATTCCACTACCGCAGGTGGTCTTGCCCCGTATGCTTTACATGCGAAGTCATATGGCTCCCCTGCAGTTACCGTTATATTGGCGCTGTTATGGTAAAACCGGCTCGATCTCACATCCGTAATTATTGCATTATAGGGCGGAACTGGTGACAAAAGAGGGATTCATCACGATAAATAAAGCTCATTTCGAATTGTACTTTTTTCCATTTTACTTTCACGTAATGCAATAACTAATTACTCTTACCACATTCTTTTAAATACTGCTACTAAGAATGAAGTACTTCATCCCTTTATGAACAATCTTCGTCGGGATTTTTAATTAGTATGTTGCCGAAAAAAGTTTAGAGACTGTTAGAGTAGTATATAATTATAAATCCGAATAATAAGCAAATGAATTTTTTTTTTAGTATGTAGCCGAAAAAAGTTTAGAGACTGTTAGAGTAGTATATAATTATAAATCCGAATAATTAGCAAATGAAAATAAAAAGACATGTCTGAAACCAACCGCTAAGGGGATTCCTCTAAAAGCAACAACATCAGTACACTAAACCATTTTCATGTGTATACAAGACGGGACAGAGCTTTACTTCCCAAAACTGAATTCGGGAATTGAAGACTTCGGTTTACCTGGTATCATAGGTGTTACTTGCATGGTAGCTAATGCTGAATTCTCCGAATCATATGTACCGTTTACAGTGCATATGTAATTATCCTCGTCATCCCTTGTAAGGTGTTTTATTGTAAGATTTCCACTTGAAGAGTCTGCCAACAAACTAAACTTTGAAGAATGGGGAATGCTTTCCGTACAATGTGGACTGGGCCGACAGGAGTGAGAGGCAACAATGGCGGTGCTACCCTTTGCCCAAAAAACTTTTCGGTTCCACGTTTTTGGTATGAAGGCACAGACCAGCGTGAAATCTTCCCCGATGACTGGTAGAGAATTGAATGTCTGAATAGACACTTCAAATGCATGATATCCTGCATGGATGATATGAAATAGATTCAAAGGGCAGGATACCGAGTACACTGTTGATAACGTACGTCGGATACGGCGACGTAGAATGAGTAGACCCATAGAGGGTTCAATGGAAAGGTTAGGGGCATTGATCTATCATACTCGCAATAACATGTTGATTTACAAAGTCATTGATAAGGGGAAAGTGAGACAGGTGGTCCGGGCATCTTCATTCCTCGTCCTTGTCCCTTTTCCCCTTGTTTGTTTTGTCACTTGATAAGCCGCGGCCTTCGATGCCGCCCCCTTAAGCTAAGTGAGGGATCAGATACTTTGCTTAAGAAATTAACGATAAAATACAATGGCCCAATATATGTTACCAGTAAATTATTTAACCTGACAGAATTGTTTTCAATAAGTGATCTGCAAAGAGCGCAATCAGTAGTGATGCCCGACATAGATGAAAGTTAGATTTGTTATTATAATGAATTCATTACATCGTTACTTCTCCCAAAATCTCCACATCCGCTAAGTACGAACGACTTTTCTAAAGTACAAATGAAACAAAACTCACCGGACTTGGAGATGATAACGGCGAGAAAAAGAAGAAACTCTGCAAAAATCGCCATTGTTATTCAAAAATCTTACCGTTCGAATCAATTCTATTTGGTGAGCTTATAACACATGTGATCAACGGTTATGGACGCAAGCAGACAGTACTAAAAGAGTACTTTTTTAAATCTAATAAACCATAATTTGGAGGAATCGTTAGTGATTTATAGCGTTAGAAGTGAAACAAATATAATTTTGTCCTGGCTGACACCGATTCAGTTTCACAAACTTTACCAAACCATCAACTTGTAATGACATAATGCATGCTGTAAATTTTTAAGCAAGAGGGGCGCTCTTTCTCTTCAGACATTGTGACAAAACTACTTCCAATTGGAATGTATCAAAAGAACAGTTATTGCAAACGTTTTGACTTAAGCTTTTGATGTATTGTAGCATTAAATATATGATGCGTATGAATACCCAAACTTAATCATGTTTTCATTCACATAATATTCACAAGTTCCAATAACAAACAGAGAAAGAAAGCAACGCATTTAATTTCCCACCTTTTTTTAGACTAGAGAGCGTAAAGACTCTAACGATAGTTGTCCATGGGCTGTTGATGATATTGTAGCTCCTAATATATGGTACATGTGATACCAAATCTTAGAGTGATTCAGTCACCTAATATCAAGAAAAAAAGGCTACGCAGTCTTTCCACACGACACCAGTCTTTCTCGGAACATTAAATACGAATTTAAAATACAACTGATCAGGAGGGAGTTGCAATGGATGTCTAGGACGTGTTATTGTATCGTCCTTTTTCCTATCTCCTTTTCTCTTCCTCTCTATTATCGCCCTTTCTTTCTTTTGTTTTCACCGCTAGACCGTGGCGTGCCCTCCCGTGTCTCCTCCTATATATACGCCACTGATCAAAAACATACTCTGCTAAACACACTAACGATAAAAAACAATACCCAAATGTTCTTAGTAGAGTATTTAACTTTTAAAAAGCAATGCCTAAATAGGAAGTACCACATAGATGGGATTTGGTACCGTTTTGTTCATACTTCAAATTTACGACTAGGTTTTTTTGCCAGTGATCTTACTTTGTATACAATCGTAGTGCTTCAATAATTTTCGAAAATTGGTGGAGAACTTGAAAACAACGACTATCGGTTGATATATTGAATACATTACATTGTTACCTCTCCCAAAGTCTTCACCTGGGCTAAATGCGAACGAATTTCAGGAAGTTAACATGAACAAAACCTACCAGATTTGGAGATGATAAAGGCGAGACAAAGAAGAAAAACTGCACAAGTCGACATCCTTATTCAATAATTGAATCTTGCAAATCGGAGAAGTCCTTTTTGACGAGCTTAGAGCACACACGATCGATGTTCTGGTAACTCAAGCAGACAGTACGTAAACAGTTGTCGCTTTGTAATGAATAGTCCATACTTTGAAGGAATCGGTGATCTTTAACGTTAGAAGTAAAACAAATACGTGTATGTCCTTTTGACACCGTTTCAGTTTCACAATATTTACCAAACCATCGACTTAACATGACAGTGTTCATGTTGTCAATGTTTAAACAAGAGCGGCGCTCTTTCTCTTCAGCCACTGTGACAAAATGACTTCCAACTGGAGGTATCAAAAGAATTTCACCACTCGTGACTATTTGCGATCATTTTTAAATTATCGATCATTGCGAAAAGTCTAAACCTCCTCCGATTTTGTTTTTAAAAAAATGGAGCGCCAATAACACAATTCTCTCCCCCATCTCATTTGGCTCATGCATGCAAATTTAAAGGAAATGACAAAAAGAAAAGAACTCCAACAACTACTTTGAATGAGGAAATATGATTTGTGAGGACGATACAATGATCCCACCTCTTGTTTTTAGTTATTTAAATATTGGTTTAATTGATGGCCTCCATAGCTTATTGGCCACTCTGACGGCTTATAATTTTGCAATATTTTTACATATTTTACTACTCAAATCTGTTATTAGAATTATATTCCTTTTAAAACTTATTTTAAATATTTTAAACTTGATCACAAATTTAAATAATTACCCCCAATAAATTTCGAATTGTGTATAATGACTCCCATTTTTCTTCTATTTTTTTTTATGAGTTATCCTAACTACAATATCAATGTACCTTGATTATCATCTGGTGTTCGTAACTTTTTTATAATTTTAACCTTTGCATTGTTGTATTCTTTGTATTTTTTTGGTAAAATGAGAATGATTCAGTCGTTAACTGATAATCACGTTTTGCATTCAACCATGAATTAAATGAATAAATGTAGTACCCAAATATACACTTCAGAGGTTCTGGTTAAATCGTATGGGCAAGAGGTGACTCCAATCGTACTGTTAGAGCCGAGGTTCAAAGTTTTAACTAGTACTTTAAAAAGAAGGCAGGGTATATTTGTTTTATATCCCACATCAAGAATGTATAATCAAGTACAAAAACACATCTTTATATTTGCTCCTGTCCTGGGTTTCCAACAAGTTTTACAATGAATCCAGATTCATGTAACTCGAACTCCAACAAGTTCGAACGCCATAATTACCAAATTATTTAAAGTTTCTCAAACGTTTAACGAACAAGGTTTGAAATATATTGTATATTCTTCAATTTTTCATTCAATCTCCGGTTAGTGGAGGTCGCCATCTTTTCAGACGATCAAAACACAACAAAACTTTCACAAATTCAAGACAGAAATCTGGGGCTTTACAGTGCTTTACAATGCAATATTTGGAGAATGTTTGTGTAGGGGTGGACTTAATGGATTCTTAAAACATGTAGACACAAGGCAAACGCGTGATTGGTTATCTATACGAGGACAATGATATAAACAAAAATATATGTTACATTCCTAGTTTGTATACAGGTGGATAATGACAAATGATTTTCATTGGTACAGTTTCTATCATAGAATTACAGAGTATTTAACGAAAAAACTTTCGCGCATATTGGAGGGGAAGGGGGTCCAAGCACTATCGAAGTATGTAGTGTTAACAATTTGAGGAATTATATTTAGACACCGCCCAGCAGTTGCATATTTTGCTAGACGTCATATATTTCAGTTTCTCAAAGGTACTTGTATACCTACTACCTATTGAAAAATAACTTAAAGTGACTGTACAATTTCCACTGTACCGAAAACACAGTGTATAATGCATTTGTTTTCAAATCACATTCAAGTGACGTATATTTATATAACAAAGGTCTATACAAAGGACTAAATAATAACAGCGCAGCTTACCATTAAAATGCATGGATTCATAGGACGAAACATAAATCAACAATGTTTGCATCAATATTCAAAGAACCATGTGAAACCTAGGTCCTTATTCTCAACTTATTTTCATTTCTCTGTAAATTCAAAGGATCATCATACATACTGTCTATTAATAACATATATTTGCTACAAAGTATATCATGGCATTATCAGAGATGTATCTTTTGAAATCAGGTAAAGGTCTACAATCACTACTTAATTGATGAAAGGTTAGATGATTCATAAATAGTTTGTAGCATAAAGATAGGAAATAACATCGTGAGGGCAACATTAATCTTGTTAATGTTACTGATATGGTAAACTTCTATCCAAATAAATATCTTCAATGGACACTCACATCTACACTTTGTTTCTTCAAATTAACACCATAGTGCGCTCATTAAAAAAATGACCAATTCGAGAAGCCTCGTAATACATTTCGGTATATTTTATAAAGTGTTGCAGGTGAAATGTCGGTGGCACCCATCATCGATACCAGGTTACCGAGCAACGAAGATAGTAGATGATGTCGTCTGGTTTTGATCGACGATGAACCAAAAAGGTTGATCTGGACTCCTTGGGGGTAAGGGATAATCTCTTAAACAATTATAATATTCAACAAGTATCCAATAAATTTATTTAGTTTGTGGTATCATATCATTAAGACATATTCCGGCAGCAATTTTTCACCGGTCAATTTCGTTACTGTATCCGAACTCTAAATTTAAACCGAAACGTTATATCTTAACGTAATCCTAATCCTTACCCTGCACCCAACGTTTAACCGAATAACTGTCATTTAATTTAGGACATATCCTTGGCAAAGTCAAGCCAAACGCAATTTTCACCGGATTATTGTGGGAAGACTCGTAATCATCTCTCGTCAATAATATATTTCATTCTTATACATATATGCACCTTGGTCCGATAGTAAAATACTTACCAGAATATGAAAATGTTATAGTGGAGCTGTCGTTACCGAGCCTTGTCTCGGTCAAACATGTATAGTTGCCATCGTCTTCTGCCGAAATATGAGAAATAATCAGAATACTCGACATCGAGGTATCTTCTTGTTGAAGACTGTGGTAAATCTGATGGCGGGTGTCGTTAGTAACTTTCGTGTCATTACAGAGCCAGGCTATAGAACAAGGGGGTCTTCCATCGGATGTGCAGGTGAAGATGGCATTGACGCCTCGCTGGCCAATAGGTATCCGACGAACAAAGAAGCTTTCAATTACGGGAGGAACTGGATTCAGAAGGAGAAATAAATGCATTAGAACGATTACAGGAATAAAAAAAGAAAGGCAAATGCGAAGGCTTTCTAAAGTTTCATAAAAGAATGGCAGAAAATAAAAAAATGAACAGAATTTCTCGTAGCCCTCACCAACGTAATGAAACGTCATGTTGGTGGTTCCAAAATGACACACAAAGTCTACATTAAAGCAATGATGCTAATACTTTACTCTGTAGTGTTAAACAAAGAATTATGGACGAGAGTTCATGGCTTTTAAACGGAATATACAATCGTTAGCTCCTGCTAATCATCCAGTTAACTTTTGGAGAAAAATGAATACAGAAGAAATAGTACCTCAGAATCAGATGTGCACTTTGACTTTTTCGGGAAGACATTAAGTAAGGAGACTTACAGAGAACATTAAGAACCGCAGTGATTCTCGAAGACCTCACTGATTGAGCAGTTCGTTGAAAAACCTGACATACAAGGAGTTCCCCATGATCGTGTAATGCCGGTGTGAAATTGAAAACACATATGGCATCAATTCGATGATGTCTATTCCTCGAAGACTGTGTGTTAGAATCCTTGGTGACGTTCTTTGATCCAAGGTACCATTGGAACGTTGGTGCTGGGTAGACATTCTTCGATGTGCAGTTCACATTAGATGAAACTCCATCCTGCAATCTTTCTGTTCCATTTAGATAAGGAGGATCCGGTGGTCCTTGTAAATTTAAGTGTATTTCGTATGTCAATATATTTTTAAATTTCAAGTTCCAGTGACAAATATTAAAAGTATATACCGATACAAAAAAGCTGGTTCTCCCGATTTTATGAGCAGCAACAGCCTATGTATCACAGGTAACTCACACCTTGACACAATAAATTATGTTCATATCTATATATTAGTTTTTGTTAGGGTTTGTTACTAAAGAATGTCCTAATTTGTCATTTTTAATTATTAAAATATCTTGCTGCCGAATAGTCAAACCATGGTATGAGTTAACCCATTTATTCAAAATGTCAAAATATGCATCTGGTATATATCAATGTCCAAGTGTGTAGCAGTATGTCCCAGACCGCATTCGGCCTTCTGTTTTGAATGGAAACAGATGAGATATCGTAAATACTAAGTACGAATACTCACCATATACGATAACCCTCACTTCTGTTTGATTCTGGTTTGTACCAGCCAAGGCCACACATCGGAGAAGTTGAGTGTGATGCCTTCTCTTTGGAATTAACTGAAGGGTAGACTTCGTGTCACGTAAACCTTGGTCAGCCTGATTCATGGTTGTCGTAGAGGTCGTCCTACCCAGGTCGTCGTCCGAACCAATGATCCATGATATGACAGCCTTAGGGCGAGAACCTGTACTCTTACATGTGAATGATGTTGCCGAGTCTTCAAAGACAATGACACTTCTTGTTCCTGCTTCGTCGATAGTCATGGGGTCAGAGGTGGTGAGCCGCAGGTTTGTTGGCGAGACTAAATAAGAGATGAAAAAGAAATACCACAACAATTGGCATGTAGACATAATTGAATCATGTTCTTATTTTATATGGAGAGATGAGGAGACTCGTTTTGAAATATAGTAGTGTAATAATCATCGAATTATGCTATACCAGCAGTCATTACAGGTACGTGCGTCTGGTATCAAGATATTTAGATGTGAGATTCGTCAAAGCAATGTGAGTAATTCTGAATTTTAAGAATACAATGTGTTTAACATTCAGAATTAGGTTATCATAGGTTCAGATGTTTATTCACTAAACAATACTATTCGAACGCAAAGATATCTGTCTAGAGTGATACCAATAATCACCTTGAACATCTAGACGGATGGTTGATTGAAGCTTATTATCCAGCTCCCGATGTGAAGCCATACAACGAAAAATCTTGTCATCATCGTCCCTAGATGGAGTTACGGAAACAACTCTTCGAGAGGTGTAAGCGTCACCATGAACAACGTTATACTGATCTTCCAGTCGAATCTCTACTTCTTCGGGAACGTGCCACTCCAGTTCCGCAGGTGGTCTAGCGTCTTGGACTGAACATGTTAGGTTGTGGGTTCGCCCATATGTGATGCTTACTGATTCTTCATACTTGTATCCATTTTCAGTCCGGCCGTCAGTGATGGATAGCAATGTAGGTTCGGCTGGAAGTGAGACAACATGTATACAATTTTCATGCTTAGAATACAAATTATCAAGCGAGATTTCTCCCCAAAACTATGACATCTGAGACAGAAATGTACCACACTTGACCCGTTATCATGATTGTAAATTTGCGGTGACTGCAGTGGCATGATTATCAGTCACAAATGAAATAAGACTTATTATATTGAAATATGTCTCCTTTAGTGCAGTGAAACAATCGAACCCTATTACCACAATAAATTGAACGTTGTATATTTCGAAATTCGAGAATAATATGATGCAACATGTTACCTGATAACATCACTTTAAGTTTAATCCCATCGGAAGCTGCATCAGAAAAGGTCCCTACTAAGCACTGGTATGTGCCGCTGTCATCCACTGTTAAATCCCTAATGGTTAGGTTACCGCTTGAAGAATCTGCCCTCAAGCTGTACTTAGATACATCTGGAACATTTTGCTCGTTACTGTATCCCACTCCTTGACATCTATCGGTAGCCAGTAAAATGCCGTCCACATTTCGCCAAGAGAGTAGCCGAGACGTGGATGGTGGCGTGTAGATGCAGGCAAGTGTGACATTCTCTCCAACGACTGGGAGGACTTCTGGGTTCCAAATACGAGTAGACACGCTTGTCTCATAAGTTTGAGATACGATGAAGGCAAGAAAGATGCATGTTCGAAGACAATAATTCATGTTGTCATTCACGGATTGTCTCTCCCTGTGAATTCAAACTGGGAACGCTGTGTCATGAACCAGAATATCTGCCGATAAAAAGTGAGGAGGAAGCGATATTGGTTTCTAATGACATAATGTATAGGCACAAAGATTAATGGCTTACTTTTGTTCTTGCGCTACGAAAATGAAAGCGATTCATCTCTCTGAAGAACATAAGTGGGGATGGTCATTTATGAATGAAAATGGGTTTTAAAAACATAATTTAATTGGCACTTTTGGCAGAACATGATTAATTGAAATTATTCGTCAATTAATGAAATGTTGTAGCATTTTACCTTGAACTTTCGATAGTACCAAGTGTGTCGTAACCTTATGTTGAATCTAAATTGCCAGGCAGCGCAGAGAGCTGAATATGTCGTTCGGTATTGGTCGACGATGAGCCGAGAAGGTGGATCGGGAATCACTACATGTTAAGGTTAATGAGTGGTAAATTGTAATAAACACATGTGTATGGTAAGGTTTCTTCAGGTTAATAACTTGAATTATTATTGATAAGTATAAGATGGTTTAATTGATGTATGTTTAATGTGTATATTTGAAAGCAAGCTCCATTTAGTTCAATTAATATGGAGTATTAAACGGACAAGACACATGAACCTAAAGAAACTATGAGAAACTCATTTCTACTTACGAGACAACGTGTAGTTAAAGACAGCACGACCGGTACCATATTTTGACACTGCTACGCATTTGTAATCACATGGATCTTCGGACTGGGGGGTTTCGAATCGCCATTTCACTAGAAGTCAGTGTTTCACCTTCTTGTATAGTCTCGGATAGTGTTATGTCATGGTAGTCGTCAGACAACTCCGTGCCGTTACAGAACCATTGTAAGATAAAAGCAGGAGGATTGGCGTCTGAGGTACATGTCAATACGAACCCAGTACGCACTTTATTTGTTGATAGCCGTCGAGAAGAAACGGACACAACTGGGTCATCTAGGTTACAAAATAATGTTGGAAATTAAATTTGAGTGGAAGTGATATAAAATACAACGAGAGGAAACGATGAGGATAGGACTGGGGAGGTGAATTAAGGTTTATGGGGGTAGGACTAAAATAAACTTTTCAATGCATGCAGGACAAAAAGATCAGATATTCTATTATAGTCTATTACTTTGACTTGTCTTCATCCAAATGCATTCTGTGTCAGATGGAAAACAGGCAACTTACATGGAACGTGTAAAGCATTTTTCCAGAAATTTACCTACAAGTAGAAACAACAAAAAAGTGTAGAATTTAAATGAAATAAACGCGAAAGCAGACGAAGACTCTTGAGATAGTCCGTGAACGCGTAGACAGATCAATTTCTAACGCAGTTTTTTTTTTAGAGATTCTTCATGAATTGCATTGAAATGAAATAAAAGCGAGAGCAGACGAAGACTCTTGAGAAAAGTTCGTGAACGTGTAGACAGATCAATTTCTAACGCAGTTTTTGGATATTCTTTATGGTAATGTCCAAACTAAAGTTTTACTGAAAATGAATACTCACATGATATGTTCAGAATAATGCTATCATTCACTGACCACATTGAGGGTGTCGTACGTTGAACTTCCTGCACAGATGGTGATGTAGGTTGAACTGCCTGGCAGAGAAGATGTTTTCCATGATCAGACCTCTTTGGTATGATGTTAAGGGTGCTTTCAGCGTCATACCGACCAACTTCATTCATTGAAGTCTTAAAGGACGAATCGTGTGTCACATCTCTTGACCCGATGTACCAATGGATGAGCGGAGCAGGGTATCCATTCACAGCTCTGCAGCCCACGGTGGTTTCTATTCCATCACTTAGACCATTGGGGGTTGTCATTGTAAAATTATCTGGTGGGCCTTTACAACGAAATGAAATATGGTTATGGGTTAAGCCTTAATGATTCAAATTGTCATTTGGGGAAAAGAATTATGAGCTCTCAGACGTAATATTTAGATAAAAGGCGAGTGATAAACGGCAAGGTTTCCTCCCCGTCATGTGTGACGATAACTTATCAATGATAATGGTTACTTTAAACTGGGCAGATAACGAGGCATACATACAACAACTGTCTTTATGTTCGTAGCGAAGATAAGGCCTTACAGTGAATCACATCCATAATAACAATGCATTTTCTCACCAGGGATATTAAAAGGAAGATCAAATGACGATATTTTGAAGACTCTAAACTCACCGTAAACGATCAACTTGGCTAATAGTACATGGATAAAGTGTCCGTTCAGAGATGCATAGCATTGAATGAATATTCCATGGTGCTTTCTCTCTGGATGTATTGCGATGGAAATTTCAGTGTCGAACAAATTATCATCGAAAGCATTGCGATACTGTGAATGGTTTGAGTTACCCGGAATACTATTGTTGTCAACAAGAAGGATCATTGATAGTTCAACAGCTGGTAATGATCCAATACTTTTACAAGTGATTGAAGTTGATGAACCTTCTTGAGCGTAAATGACTGTTGCCCCAGATTCGTGTTCCTTGTTATCTCCACTTTCAAAAATAAATATACGAGACGGCTTAACTATGTAAACGAGAGAGAGAGAGAGAGAGAGAGAGAGTGAACGTGAAATTATGTTTACAAATTGTGTAATAAACGCTATATAATGTTTCTTGTTTATCTCCAGTTGTTAAAAGCAGCACGATGGTTGGTAGAACCTCGATACAAAAACACATAATAAGGCAAGATGTATAATTCCTCAAGAAAAGCTCTAACCAAATCTGTTTCTGGAAGTTAACCTTACCGAAACATCGATTAGTTAATCAATGTGGATTAAAAAAAAAATACCCTAAGCAAAATAGACGATTCAGTATTTGATATCGCCCCGTTATATTCCAAGTTGAGATATGAGTGGAGCAGTTGATCGAGGGGAAAAAACAGGAATTCGTTTGCTCACTTAAATGACACTGATGTAAACTGGGATTAAAAAGATTACGCTACCAGGATGTGAGAAAAATTAATGAATACGCCTTTTACGTTCGTATGTGTATTCCTTACCTTGAACACTTTATAGGTAAACTGAACTCTGACGGTTACTTTTTAGTTCTCGATGTGATGCCACGCACCCGATAATCTTTCCTTGATCATTCGTTGAGGGCGTGATTGTAGCTTCCTTCCGAGAGACATAGCTGTTGCCTTGTACGACGTCAGACTGATTTTGAAGAACAACCTTTACATCATCTGGTATACGCCATTCCAGTACTGCAGGAGGCCTCGCCCCGTCTGCTGTGCATGTGATGTCGTGCGGCTCTCCTGCATTTACCATTATATTGACGTTGTTGTGATGATAACCGACTGTTCTCTCATCAGTGATACGGATCCTAAAGGGCGGGGCTGGCGAAAGAAGTGGAAAATACTCAACATACCATGGATAAAAGTCACTTTGAGTTATTATTTGACAGTGGAGCTCTTT